AGTTAAGCAAAACTAATTAAAAACATAAACATAGAAATGGAAATTACGAACGTATCACTATGCATTAAGAATGTCACATATACAAAATTTGTGGGGTTCTAAATAATGCTTATTTTATCACTTCAATATATCAACTACATAAACTATTTTTTTAACAATTGTACAACTTTATCATAACATAGCGTTACTGAGACTTGAGTACGTTGTATCTCATAAGTAAATACGGAGTATTATTCGGTTGTCTAGGGTCTCAAAATTGCTCTAGATGGCCCTGATCATTACTACTAAAACATTTAATTAATCCAAGATCACTCAGTGCATCTCTGTTATTCACTTGGTGCATAAGTGTTATTCATATTAATCACGTCAACTCATTTGGAGAAAGTGATGAACAAAATATCTTTTAAAGTGCTATAACTTTTTATTTGTACTCCAATCTTTACGAAAATTATATCAAAACTCATTGATCTTTCATATACCATCAATATTGCATATATAAAAATAAAAATATATTATTTTATATAATAAAGTGTAGTTATAAATCAGTAATGTATTTGTTTCTTATTAGTTAATAAATTTTGTTATCACTACTATTGTAACATTTAATTAATTCAACTTTATTTGGTGCTTCACTTCTATTTACTCGGTGCATCTTTCATATTAAACCAATATTGCATATATAAAATAAAAACATTATTATTTTTACATAATAAAACTGAAGTATGAATCAATGATGTGTGAGTCTTATATTGGTTAATAAAAATTTCATTATCACCATTACTAAATCATTTAATTAATCTAAGTTCACTGAATGCATCACTGTTATTCACTCGTTTTATCACTGCTATTCACTCAACTCGGTCAGGGGCGGATCCAGAAATCTACAATGGGTGGGTTGAGAAATAAAATTTGAAGACACATACATAATAATACGTAAAGTCGTCAACACTTTAAATATTCATCAAAACATCATTTAAGTTGTGCCCTACGCGACTTCAAAGTATAAAATTCATCAATAATATAGAATCTATATCTATTAATGCAAAAAGATGGGGGCAGCTCGAAATTTGAGATAGTTTGGAATTCAGGGATTTGGTCTTGTGGACGAACCTCATTTCGTAGATCTTGCATTATAGTAGGTATAGGTTCACTACTTTGACGATTCACTTTCAGAAAGAATGACGAAATCAACTTCTTTCCTTTCTTGGCAATATGCTCATTAATCATTATTCATTCTAAAAAACACTTTGAATATTGGTATGAATTAAAATACTTCTATAAATTATAAATCTAATAAGAAAAAGCAATAGTTTATATAAAACTAATAAGTATTTCCAATTTCAAAATTCAATTGAAAATTTTAATTCTTTCTTACATGTCCACACAATAAATAAATCAATCTATGTTCTTCAAACAAACAACATCCAAGCCCTAATCCCAAAAGATATTGGGGTCGGCTAACATGAATCGATACATGATATCACAACCAAAAGAAAAGGAAAGGAAATAAAGATAAAAAAGATAAGCTATTATAAAAAGATAATATAAAAAGAGATGAATATACATAAAAATGATAAAATAAAAAGGCTACAGATAATGCTTATATATAAGGATAAAAACAAGGAAAAAAAAGATGAGGGAAAAAGATGATACAATATATGTTCTTCAATTGTATAATAAATAAATCATTCTCTAATCATTAATTCTATCTTTAATCATTATAAATTTATAATGAATAAACACTATTTTGTTATGAACCGAGAAATTCAATTAATAATCAAATCGATTCTGTAACCCTAAAAATAACAATACACAATAACCCTGAAAAATTCAATTAATAAAAGTCTAAAAGAGTATTAGAAATTCATAGCTAGAGTATACCTGTTGGTCACCTAGAGGCTGGAGTTCAGGAGCTACAGGTAGAGCGGAGAGGGAGAGAAAAGACGGCCGAGTGGGCGACGGCGTCTGGCGCCAGGGCTGGTGGCTGCAGGTCGGCTAGTGTTCGCAGTTCACAGCGTCTTCAGTCTTCGTCGTTTCGTCGCAAGCTATCAGGCTCCTCTTCGACCTCCGTTCTTCAATTGCATAGGACTTCAGGAGGCCGCATGTGAGTGGAATAGTTGGACACTTGGTTTGCTTTAGCTGGGTTGGGAATTAAGTTTGGGCTGATAATCAAACATATGCCTATATTAATTAATTAATAAATAAATAAATAAATAAATAAATAAATAAATAAATAAATAAATAATTGGGCTGGGCTTGAGCCCACCCCTGCCCTTGCAATGATCCGCCCCTGCACTCGGTGCATCACTTCTATTCATTTTAATCCAATCAACTCATTGAGTGCATCACTCCAAATTTAATAAAACATATATAAAAAATCGTAAAATTGTATGAAACTTTCATATGAAACCAAATTACATATATATAAAAACTATTGTAATAATTGAGATATAGATCAATGATATATAATATCTATAGTAAATTTTGAGTTTAAATGTGCATTTTGGGAAACACACATTTACACAATAGTCGTGACACATATAAGTAATCCAATTTCATTAAATATTCAAATTTATTATTTTATTTAGTAAAACGGGATTTCAAACTGCTAACATATATTTCACTCTGTTATTGGTCAACAAGAATTCTATTATCTTTATTATGAAAACATTTAATTAGTTCCAAACAAAAAGGAGATGGATCAACTATAATGGAAAAGGGGGGGGGGGGGGGGGGGGGGGAATAGGTGGAAAGCATTAAATAACTAACAGTTGACATTATGTAGGCTCCACGCAATGAAATATTCTGGAAACTTTAATTCACGTAGACGGGTGTTAGTGGCAGTAGTCATAAATAGTTCACACTATAATGTATGCTCAATTTTGAAATATTTCAATTTTTTTTAAATAATGAAACTTTAAATCACCTGGGTGGGACTCTAATCGTACAATATCAATAATACATGTGAATATCCAAAATAATGTAAATTATAAACTCTACATATTTCCAATTCTAATTCAACACTTCTTCTTATCACTCCTTATCATATAATTAGCCCTAAAATTAGTGGAGTATTCCACGGTGGTGGTTAGTCCTATAATTAATAAATTTTACAACAATAAGCACATGCATAAACCAAAATTATAATCACAAATTAGTACTTCAAAAGATGGTGATGATTCTTCATCCCTATTCTATGATGGTGGTTAGTTCATAAAAGAAATCATCAAAATTTTGATCATATCTTATGAATAGTTTACTATGTTTATTTCACCTAACCCATGTCAAATTAACACTACCAGGACATGCCCGGGGTGTTACACTAGTTCCGTATGAAATTAAAATTATTAGGAGTACTGAATTTTATCATCTTCATTAGACAAGAAAAATCACACTTCGAACAACATTTGGGAATTTCGAAAAGTTAGTATTGTTGGGTGTGTTTCGAAAAACAAAGAAAATTAATTAATAAAGATTAATTAAATAAAATGGCTTAAAGAAAAACAAGAAATGAGATGAAGCAGAATAAGCCAAAGCTCGTGCTACGCACGATTTCCTTAAAACGTATTCGTTGCCTCCCGGGGTGCTAGGAGCGTTGCAACGATCGTTTCCCAGGATACGATGACTTCGAACAATAGTTTAGCACTCAAACTAAAGTTCCAACGAACGTGAACAAAAGCAGAACACCGAAGGAGTTTGTATGGAGTGCTAGAGGTGCTGTTTTAGCTATGAAAATACGTGAACGAAGTGTATGAAAAGTTGTGTGTTTGCAAAGCACCTACTAGCCTTTTATAGGGGTGGATTAAGGTGTGTTAATGGCTGTTTAAGGGTTATGATCGTTGGACATCAATGTCCTATGCAACGTCTAATAAATGCCGTCCGAAAATCTATCTTATAAAGATAACGTTAATTTTTGTTCTTCCGGTACGTTCCTACTTTAATTTTTGCTCCATGCACATAAATGCCCAACGTCTGTATGCTGACATTGATGTCCCAACGTTCATATGATCATAACCCGCACACGCAAGTCGCGGTTTTTGTTCTTCGGTTTCGGGATTTGATTCGCACCCCTCCCCTGCGCGCGTGAGAGAGCCTTTCACTTTAGGAATCTTAACTCCTTAGGGGGGGTTTCCCTTTATAAAGGGTTCAAATTCCCTTGTGATTTTCGGTGTGGGAAAGAACCCACACTAAAACCCACATTTTCCTAGTTTTCTCCATTCCAACGGGTAGTAAACTTCGAAAAACAATTTCTCATTCACCCGTTATCCGTTTTGAGAGTACCATATATCGAATTGTAGCCCTTAGAAAGGACAATCCGAAACCACTTTGACCCGACCCAAATCGGAAGTGGACCCCACTCAAATAATTGCCCCAAAATGACCATTTAATACACTTTTAACACACTTTTTCCAACAAGTATTACATCTATTCTTTTTTAGTTTGAATATTAGTGAGTTTTATGTTACTACATACTCTATGTTGACCATATTTATTTATTAATGTATTATAAATAAAAATTTTGACAAAAATATTGTATAATTTCTTTAAATTTTTAAATTTTGAATTTTTAAAAATTAGAAACACACATATATGTATGACCAAAATAGTACTATTTGACTATTTGAGACTTTGAATTCACCTCAAGATAAATCTTCTGTTTGACATAATTGCATTCAATAATTATTACTTCGTCCCAAAGACATTTAAAAGGATGACTAAATTAAACAAAATAAATATCTACAAGGTCCCGAATCCAGATTATAACAATGATGTTTTTATATATACTAATATCAGTCTCAGATCAAATCACACCAGGCTAGATCAGATTTGATCAGACTTTGATAGTTGTGAAATACACGAAGAAAACATTTATCAGATCATACATGATCAAAAGATATCAAAAACTTTCGATTCAAGTAAAAACTTCCTAAAATAAAATTGACATCTTAAACAAATAAATAAAAATAATAACATTATGTAAATCTTTTTTCTATGGGAAACTTTTATATAGATTAATTCAAACAATCATTATGTAAATCTAGAAAATAGATTTTGTGAATAATCCTCCGTATTATTTTCAGGGAAAGAACTCAAAGTACTCGGTAATAACCTAGTCAGTAATTACAAATTAAATGCCACTGGATATGTTGCTTCGGCAAAGAGGACACGTGTGTTTTCTTCGCAGCCACGGAAGGATGCAAGCGTTGTGAAATCTATGCCAACATGGCGGCAGCAGAGTGACCACGTCCCCTTTGCAAAACCCTTCCAAACACACGCTGCACGTTTCTCCGCCGCCCCACCAAAAACTTCCTCCTTCAATAATTCCATGATTTCCATCCACCCCATATCACCGTCTTCGCCTTCCACTTCATCATACGCCGCCGCCCGAAGGGTAGACAAAATAGTATTATCCATATAATCGGCTTCCCGATCTCCGACGTGATATTCCGCCGCCTCCAAACCCAGAACCCTAAGAACACCGTCGAAATCCAGTTCCCACGCCGGCGACCTCCGTTCTTCTTCCGGCGAGTCTCCGACAGTTTCTAACACCATCTCTCCCAGTAACCCGAAACGGCCTTCGTCACCTTCAAGTTCCTCGAGAGCGGCCGTAAAGATCTGAAGACCGATGGAGTCGCTCCATGGACGATCTATGCCGAAGCGGGTGGAGAGTATGAATGAAATCGTTTCTCCAAGTGACGGCAAATCAAAGGCAGGGTTGAAGGTGATGAACTCGTCGGATTCATGGTCGTCATCTTCATCCGGCGTTGGCTGCTCCAGCGTGAGTAACCGGACCTTTAGTAGGCCAAAGCATGGGTCTGTCACCGAGTAAAAGGATATGTCTCTTACCCTAACCCTAGTCATCTGATCTTGATTGTACGTAAATCAAGAATGGTTTAACTTATGAATTTATGAGTGATAGATATATAGATTTAATACTCCATAGATTATAGATATAGATAGATTAAAGATATTCCTTCCAGGACTTGAATTACTCCGTACATCATTAGGCGGGAGATATGATGTTTTTATACGATAATAAAATTAGGGTGTTTTACCAATATACGGGAAAGGGGGAGATTGGTTGCCAAAATACGGGGATTTATCTAGGTTTTACCAAATAGGGGGAGTCGGAACACCCAATTCCGACTACAGGAGGGTTTCAAAAAAAAAAGACCTAACCTCCTGTCAGATTAGTGAATTCCGACTAGGGTTTTTTTTTTTGGTTTTTTTGGTAAATTTTTTATTTTAATTCGTAATTCGTAAATTTTTTTATTTTAAGTTTTAAAAACTAAAAGTTTTAAATTCTAGGGCTAAATTCTATACATTCCAAATTTTAAAGTTTTTTAAGATTCATGACATATTTTTTAAAATGAAAACTTAGCATTTTCGTTTTTTGAGTAACAAAACATTTGATTGCTTTATATTATTTTTTAATTTAAAGTTTTTAATTTCCAACTAAAGTTTTAAACTAAATTGGCCAATTTCATTCATGTTTAAATTTTTAAATTGGTCGAATTTCTCTTTTTTTAATTAGTCGCCAATTTAATTTTTAAATTGGCCTAAAGTTATAGTTTTTAATTTTATTTTTTTAAATCCATTTGTATTGTGAATAAAATTCATAAAATGAGATACAAATTTGAATTTGTTTTAAATGCGATTTGTAAATTTAATGAAAGTGAACAAAACAAATGTAGGTTTCAATGTAATTTATTAATAAATAGATAGTACATACAATAATATAAATTTAATGATACTACATCTAACGTTGCGTGCTCGGCCCTGCTCCGTCCCCACCGCTAGTGTTCCAAGGCCCCATTGTGTCTCCATAGTAAAACGACGACGAATCCAGAAATGAATCAACATAATCAACCGCTTGTGTGGAGTTCTGATAAGAATCATAATACGGCGGTGGTTGATCAAATGAGACACCTTGATGCGTTGAGAATTGAGGGGGTGGTTGATCAAATGAGACACCCTCACGTGTTGAAAATTGAGGGGGCGATTGTGAGTGCTCACCCCCACCTTCATGTTCATCTGCATCATCCTCTTCGTCACTTCCACTTTCATCTTCATCTTCATCTTCATAATGGAATATGCCCCGGCGGAGCATCTCTTCATCACCTACGTCCAGGGCCATCCGCTGTAGTCGTTTTTGACAGTCCTCATGACTTGCGCGGTCGGCTAAGAGCTGATTCAGCTCGTAAAAGCCCTGCCTCTGCATAAAAATGTAACACGTGTAAATAATATGACATGATATATGTTAATGAATATAGTATGTATTCAAAAACTTACCACAATACCCCAATCGTGTGATGTCGGGATGTAGCCTGTCGCGGGCACATTGTGAGAAGGGTTCTGGACACGTGTCATACCATGCTTCTGGTACCATTTTCGGTACCTCTTAGTTGCTTCGACGGACATATGTCGATCATAATCAAGAAAGTATATATTATGTTGTATGTCCGCCCACAACGCCAAGGCACCGGTTACTATGTTGGAACGATTGCCGTGATGATCAGTACCCGTCAAAGGAGCATCCGGAGTATCTTGCCTTATATGGAACTGCCGAAGAAATCGATCGGGGTAATGCATTTCGGCCATATTGCAAAATATGAGCATGACCCTAGCCGACCAAAGCGGAGCGTCATTAAGGATGATAGGTGGGAGTTCCTCGGACGCGTAGGGAGTGAAATCAAACTGTAAAAATTTTAATTTGCAATTTAACCACTATAAAACAATGTGTATTAAAAATTGAATAGTACGGTGGAAGTAAAAATTTGAAGTACTACCTGACTCTCACTCATTCGGTCTAGGTCATCCCGGTACAGGCGTATGCAGTGTCTTGGGGATCCCTTATATGACTTGGGCACGATCCACCTACATTTATTTATTACCGAAATGAATTTAAAAACTCTAACGTCATATAACGCATTCTCAATTATTAAGATGTAATTGCCAACATACCTGCACCCATATGGAAGATGGTCATGTTGAATGACCTGAACTACTGAGGGACGGACCATCGAAATCCTCGACCAAGCCCAAATCTGTAACAAGTGCATACAACCACCAACTTGTTTGGTTTCCCACTTGGCGTCGTTGCACAAGTTATGGTAGAGGTACCCGAGAACCGCTGATCCCCAACTCCATTGACGGGCTAAAGCCAAGTCACCCTGCAAGACCTCCAAAAAGTATAATCGTATTCTTGTCCCACTCGTGTCAGGGAACAAAAGGCCTCCAAGCAATTGCCATATATATTAGGGTTCTGGTGTGTTCGGTGACCTCTTCGTCTGTACTGTCAAGTAGGATCTGGTGACGGGTAAGAGCACTCATGGTGATATCACCCGTGCGCATATCAGTCTCTAGAGGAGTGAAACCACACGACTGCGTGCACAGGTCGATCCACTGAGCCTTACCCTTAACGGTTGGACCACTGAGGGGCATACCCCGAATGGGCAAATCAAGGATCATCGCCACATCTTGTAGACTAATGCCGACCTCACCGAATGGAAGATGGAAAGTATGTGTCTCCGGCCTCCATCTCTCCACCAAAGCGCATATTAAACTATGATCCACCTTCATACGGGCAATGTGCTCTACCCCCAAGAAGCCAGCATATGCTAACATACCTATCACTCTTGGATCTCGCTCTTCAACTCCGAATGCAGCTGAAGGGCAACTGACGCATTTCAAGCACGAGTCTTTGGAATTCGGTTCATACCATATACGGTCCGCACGATGGGCACGCAGTGGCAACGTGAGTAGTGAACGGTTAACAGGCCCTGGGCGCGGAATGTTTTGCTCCATTTGAAATTCCTAAAATAAGTAGTTATAAATTACTAAATTCGAAATTTAACACAAATTCTAAATGTAACACGATTTTTAAATTTGTAGATATTTATAGCTAAATTGAACTCTAAAATTCTAATTTCACAACCTAACACAAAAAAATAAAAAATTACTAAAGTAACAACTTGTAACGTCATAAAATCGAATTTTAACTCAAATTCTAAATGTAACACAATTTCTAAATTTCTAGATTTGTATAGCTAAGTACAACTCTAAACTTCCGATTTCACAATGTAGAGTAAAATTCTAAATTCACAATCTAAATTAAAATCTTAAAAGTTACCAAAATAACTAGTAATTTTGAAATTCGAAATAACTATAATTGCGAAATTAAAATCTTAAATTCGACTATTTAAATTAAAGAGTAAAATTTGAATTTCACAATGTAAATTAAAAAATTTACAAATTACTAAATTAACTACTTCTACACTCCTAAAACCGAAATTTAAGGGAAATTCTAAATGTTACACACTTTCTAACTTTCAAGTATTTTATAGCTAAATGTTACTCTAAAAGTCCAATTTCACAATCTAAATTAAAAAATTTATAAATTACTAAATTAACTACTTCTACACTTCTAAAACCGAAAATTAACTAACCTGGAAATTTGGCTGATCACAAAGGTTTGATTTGCTAGTAGGTGCTCTTGCTTGGGTTAGTGAAGCAGATGATTATCTAGAGTACTCCATACCTCTCATTGCTAAGTACAACTCTAAACTTTCGATTTCACAATGTAGAGTAAAATTCTAAATTCACAATCTAAATTAAAATCTTAAAAGTTACCAAAATAACTAGTAATTTTGAAATTCGAAATAACTATAATTGCGAAATTAAAATCTTAAATTCGACTATTTAAATTTAACGCAATTTCTAAACATCTACAATTTCAACTATTATAAATAATAAAAAGTTAAAATTAAAGAGTAAAATTCGAATTTCACAATGTAAATTAAAAAATTTACAAATTACTAAATTAACTACTTCTACATTCCTAAAACCGAAATTTAAGGGAAATTCTAAATGTTACACACTTTCTAACTTTCAAGTATTTTATAGCTAAATGTTACTCTAAAAGTCCAATTTCACAATCTAAATTAAAAAATTTATAAATTACTAAATTAACTACTTCTACACTTCTAAAACCGAAAATTAACTAACCTGAAAATTTGGCAGATCACAAATTTTGATTTGCTAGTAGGTGCTCTTACACTTCTACACTTCTACACTTCTACTACTTCTACACTTCTATACTCATTTTTAGCGATCCGGAAAAAATGACGCCATGTCTGCTCATCGTGAATGGGCCATAGTCTAGAAGCAACATATACAGAATTCTTATATTTTGGCAATTTTCCGTAAATTAATTTAATTTCGGAAAATCCGTCGCCTCTAACATGATTTAGAACATTCTCATGTATAGTAGTATAATCATCTGCTTCACTAATGAATAGTACCGCCCTAGGAGGTATGGAGTACTCTATTTCATCATCTTTTTGAGATGTAGAGCCATTCCAATGAACCATAACAACAATATTTCCCTCACTAGACATTTTTATATGAGAGAAGAATGCCTAACCAGAAAATGTAATAAATATATCAAGAGAGAGAAGGATTATTTTTGGAGTGAAAATTTTGAAAAGAAATGAACTCATTTTATAGGAGCTGTTGGGGTACGTACGGTGACCATATAAATGCAGTTGGTAGAATAAATGAATACAAATAAAACACGTAGGGCAAACAATAAAATGAAAATAAAACGAGTTGGTTGGTAAAATGTTCGAACCACAATTAAACACGTCATTTTTAAAAAAAAATATCAAAATACCCTAGTCGGATTTCCCAATTCCGACTAGGTTTTTAATAAATTTTATCCGCTTTACGCATTGTTTTAAAAAAAAAATCAAAAATACCCTAGTCGGATTCCCCAATTCCGACTAGGTTTTTTAATTAAATTGGCACTTACCTCTAGTCGGATTGCCCAATTCCGACTAGGGTTTCAACCCTAATTTCGGACTTCCCCTTCAGTCGGAATTGCCAATTCCGACTACCGTAATTTGGTAACCTAAAAGGAACTCCCGTATTTTGGCTTGTCAGACGGGAGATTCCCGTATTTTGGTAATTTTCTCATAAAATTATGGGAGAGAATGGCTTACCCTGAGGGTGCCTTGAGCATATATTTACAATAAAACAAGTATTGGAAGTTACAAAGTGGTACCATTTAATATACATTATTACACCCTCTCAATCTGTGTAGGGGAAAACAACACACAGATTGGTACGTAAAAAATCAAAACACTGACTAGATAAGTTTTTGGTGAATATATCAGCTAGCTGCAACTGAGTTGGAATGTATTTAACAACAAGGTCTCAATGTGCAACTCTCTCGCGAACAAAATGGTAGTCAATCTTGACGTGCTTGCTACGACCATGCTGGATAGGATTGACAGCCAGATAAGAAGCAAAAACATTATCACAATATAAGCGAACAGGATCACGAATAATAATGCTCATATCAAGAAGCAAGGAGCGAATAAAAAGAGTATCCTGAACAGTATATGCTATAGCCCGATACTCAGCTTCTATAGATGATTGTGACACGGTGGGCTGCTTCTTAGACCGCCAAGAAATAAGAGATATTACCCAAAAAGACAGCATATCCTATAGTAAAACGAGAACTATCTGAACATTAAATTAAGCCCAATCAGAATAAGCAATAATAACTGAAATATTCTTATTCGAACGCAACCATAGACCATGCGTAGAAGTCCCCCTGTAAATTCTCTTAACTACCAATAAATGTGAAGTGCGTGGAGCATGCATAAATTGAGAAACCAGATGAACAACATAAGTGATGTCGGGTCTAGTTATAGTTAATTACTGTAATGCATCTACCATGCTATGAACTCAGTAACATCAGTTAAAAGTTCACCATCTGTAAGAGAGAGAGAGTAGTACGGAAAGGAAGAGGAGTACGAACACGTTTAACAGTATGAAGATGAAGATGTCGCAACAAATCATTAATATATTTATTTTGAGAGAGGAAAAGACCCTGTGGCATGCGACAAGCCTGGAGACCAAGAGAAAATGAATATCCCCCAAATCATTCATAGCAAAGTGTGACGAAAATGTATGCATTATGGAACGAACCAAAGAGCGGGAAGAGCCAGTAATTAATATATCATCCACATACAAAAGAATATACACAATTCCGGACCAAGAACGAAAAACAAACATGGAAGAGTCGGACTTACTCTGAAAGAACCCATGCTATAACAGAAACCCACTGAAACGATGAAACCAGGCCTGGGAGCCTGTTTCAAACCATATAGCATTTTGCGCAGATGACACACGTGATTAGGGAAAGATGGATGAACAAAACATGGAGGTTCACGCATGTAGACCTCTTCGGTTAAATGACCTCTTCGCCACGCACCTGACGAGCACTTTGTAGTACTGCGTCAAAATAAATTCAATACTAACACTTATACGTAGTATAGTGAAGTAGAGTTCATATGCACATGGAAATGAATAATTCTCTTTTAAATGAAACTAGTAATTAAAGGGGGGGTTTTGGGGTTGAATGATTTAATTTAATTTAACACTAAGATGAACAACTTATATGTGATTTAATTCAAACATAAAAAGAACTTGGCATTGCTACTTTCCACTTGTTGATATATTTATTCGGTTCTTGTTATATCTATAACTTATCCCCTCTCGAATACTCAATCGAGGAGTATCTCCAATTCATCGAGGGTAGTTATTAACAACGAACGTTCATTAATAACTCTTACTATTAATCAAATATAGAACAATGCCTTATACCAATTTAATAGTAGCATTTAATCTTTCTAACTCCTTGATGAAATCAATTGAGACAGATAACCTCAACACAACGATTTTGGTTTAACCAACAAAATTAATCCCTCTTAAGTTTATTAAACACGACCGTGCATTAGCAAACCGAAGTTACTTACTTGCGAAACCATCAACGATTAACCATCGGTTCGTTGATCGTTTCTAGTAAG